AATATAGTAAAAATTAATTTTTTTATTACAATTAGGAATTTTACTAAATATAAACTCTCAATCTATGGTGTTAATCAACGTTTAAGTCTAAAAAATTTAGAATTTTTATCTCTTTTAATCAACGTTTAAGTCTAAAAAACAATAGAGATATTATAAGTTTTTTTCTACATCTTTTAAAACATTAAATATGAGCATGTTAGAGCTAGCTTGTAAAATAATTAATATATTATCTCACTAAAATATTTATACTAATAAAAATTTAATTTTAGCATATAAATTTATCCATTGATATAAGAGAAAGTAACAGTTTTACTTATTGTTGTTCACCATATAATATTTAATCATTATTTTATTATATAATAAAAAAAGAATATTGTTAAATAGCGTAGTAGAATTGTTATAAAATTATATGAATTTTTTTTTTTACAATATGGATTTAATATTTTTTTTATGATTTGATAATATTAACAAATCTATACTTAACTTTGACAAATAAAACAAATAAATAGTTTAGTAAGTATTTAATGTATATACTAAATAGGAATATATTTGGTATAATCAAATACCAAATATAATCAAATAAGTCAAAGTGTACATTTTTATTTGGTATTTGATTTTCTTATTATTAAAATCTTTTTATTATGCTTACCTGTTTAAAATAAAACAAATAAATAAATCAATTAAATAAATAAAATATTATAATACCAAAATAGTAATGACATTTAATGCAGTTGACTTTTCTGAATAGTAAATGTAGTAAATAGAATCTCCTTTTATATAAGTATAGATTGTATAATACGAAAATAATAATGCAATAAATGCTGTCGACTTTTCTGACTACTTAATTTGGTAAATAGAACTCCCTTTAATATAAGTATAGATACAAATGTGGGACCCATTATATCCATTCATTCAATATAAATTTTAATATTTTATTCTCAATAAAAATTAGAATTTAATATTTTTAAATTATAATAATAAATTTTAAATGCATGAAAATAAAAGAACACTACAAGACCAAAATAACCTAATTTTTTTTTGTAGAGAAGTGTTAAATTTTTTGTGTAGGAGAAGTGTAAGTATGAAGTGTATTTATAGGAAAAAAAAAAAAATGAGAATAAAAAATATAAATAAAAAAATAATAATAAAAAACGCAGCTGAACTAAAAAAATAAATAAATAAAACAAAAAGGCTCAAAAGAGCCGTTAAGAGCAATGAACGGATACATTGGTCCCACAATTAAATGAACGCGTGCAGTGGCTGAACGGATATTGAGGCATTTAAATGAGGTGCATTAACGCACCAATGCAGGTGCTCTTATAGTTTTGTCATTGGTTAATAATAAAGTTTTTTTTTTGTTTTTTTTATTTATAACAAGTTTATCAATAGTTTATTTATATTCTTATTATGAATAACGGTATATTTGTAAAAGCTTAAAAAATATAATGAATGAGGAAATTGCAAATTTGGTCCCGGAGCATTGGGTCTGTTGCAAAATTAATCCTACTCGGTGGAAATTCAGTCCTTAATTTTTTTTTCGTTGTGAAAGTAGTCTTAAAGCCGTCAACATTAACTGAGTGTCACACGCGAGTCGCATGACCGTTGGTCGTCAGGTTGAAAATGAGAAAATTACAAATTTAGTTCAATAAGATTGACTGTGTTGCAAATTTAGTCTCAAATGTTGCAAAATTTGTTCTTTTCTATTTTTTGTTGCAATTTTTATGTCGTGACTTTATAACAGTATTTGATAGTAAAAATTTAATTTTGAGATAAAATAATAGTAATAATAACTACTATACAATGTTTCGATATTTCAAATTATTTTTATTTAAAAATAACAAATATATTTAAAAAGTAATTATTTAGTTTTGTTATAATTATAGTGGTTCATAAAAAATAAAAATATAACAGTAGAGGTTAATAAAATTTAAAAAATAAAAATAATATCACTACTACTATTTTGAAAACTGAATCAAGAATCTTTCAACTAAACGGTTGAATTCCTTTTAACAAACAGGTTTTCAATGAACCATTCAGAAATGGTTGATCAGACTGGTCAATTATATATTCTTTTTAAAATAAGTTAATAAATATTTATATACGTTTTATTATAACAAAAACATCAATTTCAATATATTTGATATATATAGATTCAAATATATTTAAATTTATATTATTATTATATTAAAAAATAAACTGGCAGTGAACAATATTGAAAGAAAGTTTTTTGGTGTTTTTTTACCATTTTTACGATATGTTTCTTTTAATTTTTGTATTTATTGCATTTGCTACTATTCACTATCTTTGATCTTTTTTTTTGGTATGAGAACTAAATTTACTATCAAAGTTTGTTATATACATAAAATGGTGTTGTACTGAGGTGAAAGAAAGTTTTCTTAGAGGCATTTTTTTCTATTATTTGTGAAAGTTTTCTTAGAGGCATTTTTTTCTATTATTTGTGAGTTTTTATATATTCACATTTTCATGTGTAAGTTGTACACGAATTTTGGTCATTATTTTTTTTCGTTTCAAAATTATTTTTTTACTATCAAAGATTGTCATACACATAAAATGGTGGTGTATTGTGTTGAAATAAAGTTTGCAGGGGCTTTTTTTTACCATTATATGCGATTTTTTTGTTTTTGTATTTTTGCATGTAAAGTTGTACGCGAATATTTGGTCATTTTTTTTTTCGTATGAAAACTAAATATTTAATATCAAAGTTTGCTACATACAGAAAATGATAGTGTACTGTGGTGAAAGAAAGTTTTACGAGCATTCTGTGCCATTATTTACGAATTTTTTATTTTTTGTATTTTCGTGTGTAAAGATGTATGCGAGCCCCTAAATTAAATAATTATTTGTTAGATATATTTATTAATTAGTTAAAAATAATTTGAAATATGCAAACATTGTATATGGTACGCAAAAGACCCTGGACTGGCTAGAATCGACCTTGTCTTGAGCTTCCTCACCGGTAGATCGCCTGCGAACCTGCAAAAACTCACAAACCGCAGGGAGCTTTTCGGTTAAGAGCCTCTGATGTTTAAATGAACACTTGTAGAAGATGAAGTGCAGAAAAGTGTGTAGAGTATATGTGAATGTAAGAGCTAAATTCGCACATCCCACCCTTATTTATAGGGGTGGGTTACTTGCTTCTAGAAGCCTATTCGGATTGTGTGAGTTGGCTGCCCAAGCTGCCCGATAGTGTAGCTCGCATTGCCCAGAGTGTCAGAGACGGTTATAAGGCGTGGACCAATCAGGTAGCGCCATGTACCCTTGCCCGTGTGCAACATTAATTACAGTAAGATTCTTTCTTATCCTTAGTCTTTCGCATTAGACCGTCTAATGGTGTGACCAGCTCGAGTACTGCTGAAGTAGAATACTGATTGTTTTGAGCCCAAATGTTGTCCTTTCTGGTCGAACGTACGACCAACTAGGCCTACAGGTCGAGTTTCTATAAGGTCATTTGAGGGCCCTAGCTCGACTTGTTGTCGTTGCCATGTACCTTTTATGCCATCTTCCAGATCGTAGGCTCTTAGTCCTGTATTGGTGAAATTCGACCACCACCAATCCAGCTGTGGTTCTCATCGACCAGACGGTTTGCTCGGCCGAGTCAACCGATTTATTTCCTTAGGTATGGTATCCCATATCACTATAGTAATTAATTTAATTTTTTTTTTTGTCTCAAAACTATTTTTTTACTATGAAAGATTGTTATATATTCACGACATAAAAGTTGCAACAAAAAATAGTTAAGAACAAGTTTTGCAACATTTGGAACTAAATTTGCAACACGGTCAATCTTATGGGGCTAAATTTGCAATTTCTTCATTTTGAACCTAACGACTAACCGCCACGTGACTCGCGTGTGACACCCCCATTAATTTTGACGGCTTTGGAACTACTTTCGCACCGAATAAAATTAAGGACTTAATTTTCGCCGAGTATGACTAATTTTACAACTGGCCTAATCTTACGGGACCAAATTTACAATTTCCTCTATTGTGAATATATAAATGCATCAAAACTATTTGTTCCATTTACTTAATGCGTTTTCGTCCAACTCAACTTCTGTTGCTGCCGACTTCACAAAAAAATTAGTGGCAGTGGATGGGTTAATTTGATGAGAGACGTTATAAGTACATAATATTGTACATAGATGTGTACATAACACTGACATTAAGTGGGTCCTACCAAAAATAAAAAATCAAGTAGACCCCACTCTATGTGAGTATTATGTACACCTCTATGTACATGTATTATGTACTTGTAGCATTTTTTTAATTTAATATAGGGCCGAACAAGTTTGTATGATTTGATAGATTTGTCCAATATTATAATTTGTTGACCGACAATAGCGTTGCAAGATTTTGGTCCAATCGATGATGAGCCCGACAGACACTTATTTGGATTGGGCAGTGTCTCTAATTTGTATGTCCAATGCAAGTCTTGATACATTTTTAGTTCAAAAATAGTATTTGTAGTTTGTAGAATGCAAGTCATATTTAACAATGTTTTGAAAATTATGTACTCTAAGATCATGTCTGAAACGTGGATATTTAACGGTAAAATGCGCTAAACTGTGTTAGAACATGGAATTGCTGTAAGTTTTTTCAAACTGTGTTGTAACACCATAAATAAGTATAATTGCGGAAGCACAAACAAAAAATAAAAACTTTTCGTGGAGTGTCTCACTACCCCACAGAGATTTATGAGTTGTGTTGTGCACACTTGTATAGTTTAAATTTATGCAACTAAAACTCCCTTCTAGCATAGTCAACAGTTTATATGATCCTACCAACTACTTCTCTGGTAACAACTTGTGGACTTTACACACTCGAATCCCCCAATCAACCCAACACTTGATCTCTGAAAAAATGTGGGAGTGCCATTAAATTCTAAATTAGCATGAATAAAATTCTCAATTTTAGGAACTAGAGAATATTGGGCCTAATAAAAAAGTTGGCCTCCAAATGCATTTTCTATAACTCAAAGGGCAGATAGTGAAAATAGTACAATTTTAGATTCACACACATTATTTCAGTGAAAGACCGACCAGGGCTTGTTACTCATCACAGTGGAAAAAAAAACACAAAAAGATGGCTAAAATTACTGTGCAGCTGCGTCTTCCAAACAGTTGAGGTAACTCTATTGATTCCTACATCCTTATACTTTTTATTTTATTTTATTTATTTTATGACTCCGTTATTTTTCCGGCCTCATTTTTACTACAGATCTCACTGTAAATCCTGAGTTTTGATGTTGGGGGCAAAAGCTGGTAGAACCCTAGAACCGTTTGCAATTGGGGGGTTTTCAACTTCGATTGTGACATTCATCTTATGTTCCGAATTTAATTATCTTATTTTGCTCTTCTGCCGATTATGTGTTGAACTTTCGGATAAATTCTAGTTATCAGGCATCGTTTGGAGAGAGTATCATCATATTCTCTCCATGGATAAAAGCAGTAATGAGCAGATAGAGATATTTTCCCATCCGAACAGTCTAGAAAAATCCAGTGAAGGTAACCGCGACTTTTTTAGTGACTTGCCGGACCCAATTATCGTTCACATTCTTTCCTTTTTACCGCTACGTGATGCCATTAGAACTGCTGTTCTTCCGAGATTCGGTAAACTGTGGCTTAGCTTGCCGGTTCTTGATTTGGACAACTGTGTGTACCATGAGGATGATGAAGATGTGGATTTCAACAGTTGTGACGTTGAAAACTTCATGCATGTAGTTCATCAGGTCTGGAATCATCACGATGAGAACATGCTGGATAAATTGCACCTCAGGTTTGCTCTTGGGCATTCTTATTCATCTGGCATCGATCCCGATCGTTATAATAATCCCAACTTTAGTGATTTTGAAAGACGGGAGGTGGAGATAAATATGGCCGCCATATATCACGCGGATAAGTTAATCAGTTATGCCGTGAGCAGAAATGTCAAGGTTTTGGATCTCGATTTTAAGGGCTGTAAGTTTTTTGTGAAATATTATAAGTTACCGGATGTTTTAAGTACAGGATACTTGACGAATTTACGCTTGGCCGCTTGTGACATAAGATCTTGCAAGCAAATAAATCTGCCGGCACTTAGAGCCTTGTTTCTCTACAAGGTTTTGTTGAGTGGTGAAGCAATAGAAAGAATCTTGAATGGTTGCCCGTTTCTTGAGGATCTGTCTGTGGTTGATTGTCATGGCTTTCACCAGTTGAGTTCCAAAAATCCAAACTTGAAGAAGTTGATGCTTAGTGTGGCTGTGAATGACAGGCTTGTTCATGTGGAGTGTCCTCATGTAGAGTCAATAGTAATATGTGGGTGTATCGATGCCGTGACTTTGCATCATGTCTCATCTTTGGTCGAAGCTTCTGTCTACTTTAGCGGCTTATCAAGATGCCCGCCCACGCATTATCCTGTAGTGCAAGACCTACTGTTCATGGTTCGCAAGTGCATAAGTTTCAGCATATGCAGTTGGAGTATTGTGGTATCCATTGTGCCTTCACGTGCTTTGAGTTATTTGAACATCTGACTTTTTTTATTGCATGAGATGAAATAAAAGGCTTTCATTTTTTTAGTTTTTGTTCATGAAGAATGAATTGTTGAAATTGTATTTTAAAGATATAAACTTCGAAGTGCTAATCTGATGATGTGAATTATAGTGAATTCTGATGCCTAAACGACTAAAAACAGTTTAAACGCTCGTAATTTCTTAAAATGAGGAGAACTGTTTAAACGACTAAAAGTAAGTTAATGAAAGGAGAAAAAAGAAAGTTTTGTGACAATTTATACAGGCCTTGTATCATAGCTAATGCGGATCTTGTAAATTTCACGAGATAACATATGCTACATGCTGCCACTACCTAATNATTAATGCTTTTGTGAGCAGTTGATGTCAATATGGAAGGTGCAAAAAGTCCTTTGCCCACTGTTCGAGTGGAAGCATGTCAAAGTTAAACTTCATCTCACGAAATGGCACCTTCCGGGGCTTTCTCTCCTCCTGAGATGTTCTTCTTCTTCTCTTGTGGAACTTACGATGCATACCTCTTGTCAGGTACAAATTTCTACTCATATTTTGAAAATTCATTTTCATCGTCTGTCTTTCCCTAAATTGGAGTACTGAGATCGTTCAACTTTGTGCTGCTAGACTGAGGGCCCATTTTGGAGGTGGCAAAGTGATTTTGATGGAGAGGTACACTTGAACTCACAGGAGGCAACCTTACCCTGCCTTGAGAGCATTATGATACATAGCCGCCATATAGGCGACCCGTGTTTCATCCAGATTGTCAAATTTCTACTGAAAAATACTCCGAGGTTACAGAAAATGGTAATTTCAACCAAGAAAGCATTTACCTCAGAACAACTGCATGAGCTCTCTGAAGAGTTGTTATCATTGCCTAGAGCCTCATCGGAGGCAATGGTGTGCATCTCTTAAAACCCGGTTATGAGTTGCTGCTTAAGACCTCCTTGTTGTTTTTGAGGTTGAACTACTTTAAAAATGTGGCTTGTAATATGTGGAAACTGGAAAATCATTAGATCACTTTCTTCTACTACTAGTGCGTGGCCCGTGCGATGCACGGAAAAATAATATTTTGATTGTATTATAAATTAAATAAATAAATAACATTAATCATGATTTATCCATTATTTTTAAATTAAACCGGGTTGGACACAGTCCGACCGGATGGACCGAGAACCGGTTTATAACCAGTCTATTGCGCTTGAATAAAATATTTTCTATCGAATTCGTCAACATCAGTATGTTGGACTGATAGGATCGATACGATTTTCTAAACAAATTTTGTTACATTAAAAATTATTTTAAATAAAATTACATATTTAAATAAAATAGAGATTTATAAATTGTTTATCAATTAATTTAAAAATTTGAATTTATAAATTGTTTAGATATTTAAGTAACACTTTTTATTTAAATTTATTACAAAAAGTATTATATATATATATATATATTAAAGTATTATGTATTAAAATCTGAACAACCACAAACGATTTAATAAAATAACTTGATCGTTTCGTTGACGTTCTGGTTCTGAAAACCTTATATTTACCGTACATTAATAAAAATGATAATAAAATAATTATTTTGTTCACATAAATAATAATAAAATGATATATAAATATTCATAAATCATTAATCATGTTGTCGTAAAAGTTGTTAATATGATTATTTGAAGTTTGGACTACATAATAAAGTATTTTCAATATTAAAATTTATATTTAGGTTCAATAATCGATTTGGTCTGGTCAAACTGATACATAACTTAGTTACCTGGGACCAACCAAGTTATGTCAAGTTTTTTGACTATTTTAAATATCACCTAAAAGTAATTCACAAC